AAAATGAAAAAATAATAAATAAATATTATTAGGCAATATTTCTTTGTAATGTAACATTAAGATACTTTGGGGACATAAATTCATTTCTAAACTGTCCATGTATTTGGTTATGAACTCTCAGCCATAGTGGTCTTGATTTTGACAAACATGACTGAATTACAGTTAGGAAAGGGCAAGAAAATGAAAATACTTAATAGTATGTATACTATGATGTAATCATTGAAAAGGGCATTTTATTGTTCTTAGGTGAAAATGTACATAGCTTATTAATTTTCCAATCAATAATTCATATACAAATTGTTCTGTGACATTGATTGCAATCTCCACAATATGTTAGTACTCCCCCCACTTTCTTCCTTGGTTACCTGTTTCCATTCATCTGGTTTTCCTGGCCCTCTCTGCCTTCTCATCTTTGGTTTTGGGTAAATGTTGCCCTTTTGGTCTCCTATAATTGATTGTTCTAAGGAGCACATTCTTCCTGGCTGTCTTAAGGTAGGTTTTCTAGAGAGGCAAAACCTGTGAAACATGTATATAAAACCTTAGAGAGAGAGAGAGAGAGAAGCACTTGACTGCTAACCAGAAGGCTGGCAGTTCAAACCCACCAGCCACTCCTCAGAAGGAAGGTTGGGCAGTCTACTTCCATAGAGATACTGCCTTGGAAACCCAAGGTAGGGTTGCTGTGAGTCGCAATGCAATTGACCCAACAGCAGTGAGTTTGGGTGGTTTTTATTTTATTTTTTTTTTTTGAGAGAGAGATTTATCTCAGGGAAATGGCTTACACAGCTTTAGAAGCTGGCAAGTTCCAAATCTGTGGATCAGATGTCAGGCTGGAGGCTTTTCCTGACTCATATAGCTACAGGGGCTGACAAACCCAATATTGGCAGGTCAGATGGCAACTGCTAGATAATGGGCTGTAGAGGCTGACAAATCCAACATCAACAGGTAAGATGGCAGGCTGCTGGCTCAAGTCCAAAGAACTGGAGGTCAGATGATGACGAACCAAATACAGGATCTAGGTTGAGCAAAAAGCCAGAGAACTTTTCCAGAATGTCTGTATATGTTAGAAGCAGGCCACCCACACCCTTGGGTTAACTCCCTTTGAACTGATGGGCTGCTCACAGCAGATCTCATCATAAAGGTGATTACATTGTATCATATCTTATCATTGGGGATGACTACGTCATAACTGTCAAACCACTGAGAATTGTGGCCCAGCCAAATTGACATGCAACCTTAACCATCACAACAGGGTGTATTGTTTATCTTACAGATCCATCTATCATTTGGCTAAGAGTTGGCCTCCAGGAATGTTTCCAGGTTCCAATTAGAAGGCTGTCTTAGGGCAATAGTCTTGGGGGTTCCTCCAGTCAATTTCAGACCAGTAAGGCTGGTCTTCTTCCTTTTTTTGAAACTGAATTTTGTTCTATATTTTTTACCCATTCTAACCAGGATCTACTGTCATGGTCCTGGTCAGCATCTAGTTATTCTGACCTCAGGTTAGAACAATGGTATATGTGAGCCATTAGTTCTTTGGACTAATTGCTTCCCTGAGTCTTTGGTCTTCTTCATTCTACTTTGTTCCAGACAAGAAGAGACCAATAGTTCCTTCTTAGTTGGCTGTTCACAAGCTTTTAAGACCCAAGATGTTGCTCACCAGACTAGGATGTAGAACATTATCTTTATGAACTATGTTTTGCCAATTAACTTACATGCCCCCTGAAATTATGGTTCTTACCTTTCAAGTCTAGTAGTTCAGTTCCAACGTCCAAGTCATTTCTAAGACCGTGCTACGTGCTTTTACATATATGAGTATACATGCGGCATTTACAAATACACATGTGGAAATATCTCCAGTCATACCTATATATGTACATGGGTATATTCCCATATGACCTTGAGAAAAGGATATTTCAAAATGTCAGAAAAGAAATACTTCCTTTAGAGGATAATATGATAGGTAATTCATTTAAAAACTGCATATGGTTGCATAAAGTTGAAAAATCAAATATTGTTTGTTCTTTGAGATATAACAAATTTGTAATTATTTTATCTTTATGGAGGTTAATGGAAATCAACCAATAAAACCTTCTAAAGAAAATAAGAAAAGAAGTCATCCTGAATCAGTGAAAACAGTAAGTCTCCTAATAATGTATATGTTGAAAAAAATGGCAAATATCAGAATATTATCAATATAGATTATGATTAAACTTACAAATATAATATCCTTAGATATAATACAGAGCTCTGTTACTCGAATCTTGTTTAAATATATTTGGTCCTTAAAAATTAGATGATTTTTAAATAAGATGCACTAAGTTGGTTTATTAATTTTTTACATGTAAATATTTACTACCTTATTCCACAAAATGATTTGAAGTAGTTAGAGGAATTTATAAAGTGAAAATCAGTGTCAGGAAAAATATAAATAGAATGATAAAGTTACAGTGCAGGAATATTCAGGCCATTTTGTTAATACAAAACTTAAATTGTACTGGAGTCCAGATGGTACAAATGGTTAAGCACTCGACTACTAGCCAAAAAGTTGGGGATTCAAACCCACCGAGAGGCTCCTTGGAAGGCAGACCAAACGTTCTGCTTCTGAAAGCTGACAGCCTTCAAAAACCCTGTGGAGCAGTTCTACTCTGCACACATGGGGTTATCAAGAGTCAGAATCGACTTTGATGGCAACTAACAACAAAAAAAGTTGTGCCACAAATTTTATCTGGGCTTTCTAGAAGCCAAAACTATGGTGGAAGCAAGGTAAGTTGCCAAATCCATGTGTTCCCTAAAATATGGCACCTCCATCTAGTACCTCAGGGGAAAGAAAACTTTTCCTGACCTAAGACCTGTGACAGATAATGTATTTGGCATTTCTGAGATAAATATTCATATTTATTTTTCTGACTACAATTTTTACTATTACTAAGTTAAAATTAGAGAATTCAAACCTTAATATTTTAAAAAATTAAATGCTAAAGAGGCAATCTCAAAAATATAATTGGTTAATATTATTTTCAATTTGCGTAATCTAAGAACGGAATAGGAGCTCTGGTAGCATAGTGCCTAAGGCACTTGACTGCTAGCCAGAAGGCTGGCGGTTCAAACCCACCAGCCACTTCTCGGAAGGAAGGTTGGGCAATCCTACTTCCGTAGTGATACTGCCTCGGAAACCCAAGGAGGGGTCGCTATGAGTCGGGGCCGACTCGACAGCATATAACAACAACAACAACAACGGAATGGAATTACTTGGCATTCCGTTAATATTTTAGGTTAATTTTCCCCAATTATTAAGCCGTGATTTATTCTGCAAAATCATAATCCAATTTGTAATCCCTAATGAGTTTGAGTTTTTTTTTATCAAATCCAAATTCAGTAACCCAGGGAATTTTATTAGGTGTTCCCTAATTCATCCTTCCATTTATGTAGAAATGTGCATTGAATTTCTAATAGCTGTCAGGTACTACTGAGTACCAAAAAGACAAGAAAGACATGATTTGAATCTTACATGGTGCCAAAGCAGAATGTTTTCTATTTGTAGCTCATTGTTTAATCTTTTTTCCTTTATCATACTCCCCAAATATTTGAATACTATGAGGACATAATGTTAAATCTATGTTTTTAACTATTTCAACAACCCTAGTACCCACCAGCCACTCCTCGGAAGGAAGGTTGGGCAATCCTACTTCCGTAGTGATACTGCCTCGGAAACCCAAGGAGGGGTCGCTATGAGTCGGGGCCGACTCGATGGCACATAACAACAACAACAACAACAGTAACAACCCTAATAAAGACCTTAGGAGCTTTGGTAGCATAATGGCTAAAGCATTTGACTGCTAACCAGAAGGCTGGCGGTTCAAATCCACCAGCCATTCCTCGGAAGGAAGGTTGGGCAATCCTACTTCCCTAGTGATACTGCCTCGGAAACCCAAGGAAGGGTCACTATGAGTCAGGGCTGACTTGACGGCACATAACAACAATAAAGACCTTATATTTTGCAAGTACATACTTTCAACAGCCATTGGAAAATATATGTTAATAATAAATTCTACCCCACTTTTAAAGAATCCAGGCATTCTTATCTTAATTGGAAATCATTCTGCTATGTATAATAATAATAAAGAAACTTCAGAGACAAGAAAAAAATCTAAAATTAAAGACATTTAAACTGGAAAGTATCTAAGTAGATGTTTTCTTTTAACAGGTCCTCCATCACTTTGATTCTTCTAATCAAGAGTCAATGCCAAAAAGGAGAAAGTTTAGTGAACCAAAGGAACATATATAAAATTGTTTTCTGCATATTTGCAAAGTTTTTCTCAACATTAACTAAAGATCGCTATATTATTATTTTAAGGTGTGTTTTCCATACCTCTGAAAATTTATATGTAGTCTTAAGCAGTTCATGCACTAAAATGAAGTTCTTAGCTGTCATACTGTAGTCCTTAATCTTATCTGAGACAAATACAAGAAAATTTCTTAATAAGACAAAAAGTACCAATGTCATAATTGATTCAGTTCATTGTCTACTTAGTGTTGATCTGTCTTCCATTTTGGTGGACACTTTAAGCATATATTAACTTTTAAGGCCCTCTAAAGCATTTTTTTGAAACAAATAATGTTTATTATGTTATTAAAATTTGGTAGGGATTCACTTTTATGTTAAAACTACATCATTTAAGTAGCTATGTTTGTCATTGTGTTATTAAAACAATGTTCTTCAGTATTTTAATTATAGTGTATTAACATGATAATGCATAATGTCCAATAAAAAAATTGGTGCTTAAAAAACAAACATTTTTTTACAACAGGGAAGAAATATGACTAATTTTTTAAATCTGGTATTTTTAGTAAATAAAATATTGTTCAGCATATAGACTCTTTCATGTCTACTAATTTTTATTTAATTAGCAGAAAACGTTTAGGCACTAATTTTTAGATCATTACAGTAGCTATTACTTTGCAAGAGTTGAGCACACTTCTTAGAACTTTTGTATGAATGATAAAGTGAAATACTGTGCTTTTAAGTGCAAACCTGCGCCCTAGTTCTAGGCATTTCCTTTCCTGTAGTAAAACAAGACTCAAACCTTGGTCTGTCTGCCTCTTGCATTTGCAGTAGCTATATTATAACATATTCATTGCCCATAGCTTTGCCAGTAATAAGCGCTACACTGAATGTTGGTGTGCATTCCATGGCAGACATTTAACCCAAATAAACAGTTAATGTAAACCAAATAAACGTCTATCCAGTGACCCATCAGGTTTTTCTGGAACAGGCAATAAGGGGTAAGCTTACTGTCAGAAACAATCAATATTAAAATGAGTATTTATTAATTGAATCATTGCTTGGATCCCAACACATCTCACCTAATTGTCCCAGTATACATGGCTACCGTAACATACCTGCTACACTGAGGTTGACCATCAGAAAGCCTTTGTTGATCGATAGCCAGTGTTGTCTCACTGGACGCTTTGATTGGCCGGTGTAATGGGGATGGGGAGCGCAGCCCTGTTTCGTCTCTTCAACCAAGGTTCCTTCATTGGATTGACCAGCTGTCAGGTTGAACCCAAACCTGCCTCCATTTGGTGGTGTTTGTGTGGATCACAACACAATAGCCGAGGGAGAGCCTCCCCTCGTAAGCTCCGATTGGCTGGACTCAACATTGGTGGTTTCTGATTGGCCCAATGAAGAAACACCAAGGTAGGTTGCCTAGAGATCCTGAGGAAGCTGATGTGTTATTCCTTCTCTTCATCGAACGATCAGGAAGTTTGTGCTCTCTACGTGGCTGAGAAGTTTTTCACGCACTAGGATCGGGGAGGGGTGGGGTGGGGACAGGTGTCCCTTGTAAAATATAGCGAAAGCGGCAGTCTGCGTCCAGCTGTAACCCAGGAATAATATCAGGTAAGCAAGGGGGAACATACATTTTCTAACGTCCAAAATAGTAAAAACCTCTAAATTTCTTGTTTTATGAGGAGAGGAAGAGTTTTGTGTTTTTATTTTGACCAGTTGTTTTTTCAAGTAGGATTTTTACTAGTAAATATCTGGGGCGAATTAATTCCTCAAAGGGAATCTCTCTTTTTTACGCCCCCCTCCCGGCCCCCCTCCAAGGTTTGAAGTTTCTTGGATTGGGTTAAGAAATATGTTCTATTCACAGCGCATTTATTTCATCGCTCTCTTCCTCCTTCGCTCTTCTTCCTGCTTCCCAAAACTTGTATTTGAAATATGTCCTTATACAAGAATCTTTCACAAGTCACTTTATTTGTATTTCTATTTTAAATGTTCACATAAATTTCTAAGTTTTCATTTTAATCAGTATGTGTTTATTGAGCAGTTACAACTCTAAAGATACTGTGCTAGTTGCTATGGAGAATATAAAAACCAAGAATAAAAAAACAAGAAGACAGTATCTCTGCCCTCAAGAAGTTTACAGTTGAGAGACAGACATACCAAAAGAAAGACTATAATAAATACTTTAAAGGAAGTAAGTATAAATAAAATTCTCTGAAAGTACAGCCCAGAGAGACACCAATTCTGGCCACGGAGCATAATGTAGTTACTTAACGCTTCACAGTAGGTTTTCAGTAGGCCTTTGAAGAATGGTTAGAATATAAAGAAGGGAAAAGGGAGATTACCCTAGCATGAACAAAGGAGCAGAGGCAGAAACATGGGCATGCTTGAGACGTGGGTTGACAGCAGTGCATAGTTGGGAGTAACGGGAAATACTGCTAGAAAGTAGAATAAAGTCTAGTCACACAGGCTCTGGAGTGCCATTCTTCTGACCTCAAAAAAGACACCCTCTTAAATAATTGTTAAGATTATTGTATGTCATCTTAAAAACTGACATTTAGATATCTAAGAATGTTAGTTTAAATTTTATCACAGATGGTTTAGTGAAGTTTGACTAGATTTTTTAAAAAATGGTAGTGCATGGTGTGTGTGTGCTTCAATACTTTTTTTTGTAATTGGGAAAGGATTTGGTGATCTTTTAACTCTGTTGTCAATCCACTTTCTTGGCAGCTATAAGTGTACTTTCAAGATGACTAGTTAGGTCTGGAGATGCAAAGTTTCCTGGCTATCTGGAATTACTACATATGCTCTTCTGAGTACTATTCTCTAGACTAGTTATCTCCAAAGTGAATGCATGAAATGAGTCATTAGGATATGAGAAGTAAATATTAGAAAATGTATTCCTATTTAGTTTTTCTCATCCTTTTTGACTTTCTGTTTTTTGGAGTATTTTATAATATAGTATTATTTAATGTTTATAGAAATTTTATATCAAGTATTATACATTTTACAGCTGAAAAGCTCACAATATTTTGCTGTCCAATCTTAGAGATCCATTTTGTGAGAGAAGAGTTACAATTATGGACAGTCACTCCCGGGTTATAGATTATGCAAAAAAAAATGAGACTTAAAAGATGATCATTTCTATTGGACTTTAGAATTACTGATTTGATCTATTGCCAGTGCTATCTATGGTGTATATTTATATACATAAGCACATATACAGATATTCTTTTACAACCCCCTCCAGAAACAAGTGAGAATGACCACTCTTACTCACCGGACCCGTCGCACTGAAGGAGGCAAGAACTCTGAAAAGAAAGTGGAAAGTGAGGAAGACACTAATCAAGAGTGGAATCCAGACATTGAAGACCCTGGAGACTCTAAGGATATCCGCCTCACCCTTATGGAAGAAGTATTGCTCCTGGGACTAAAGGATAAAGAGGTACTACAGTTGGGTTTGCTATACTATGTCAAAGACTCTTAAATATTGGAATATTTTTAAAAACTAATCTGATGAAATATTTTTGTTAATGCTATATTAGAATTGTGCTCTAGCTACCTGGGGATGGAGGAGTTTGAAGGGGTAACAGATACTTGGATTGTAAAATCCAGAAGTATAATTACTTGAGGTCTAATTTAATTAAAAAGTTGCTCCAAAACTTTAGAGGATACTAAAGAGGATAACATGGTGTAAAGTTTTTGTATTTGCAATTTCTCAACTGAGAATTGATAGTGAAATAATTCTTTTTTATTAAAGTAAGAAAAAGGGCTCATACTTGGAAGTCTTCTTGAACTTTGGAGGAGAAAAAGTCTTGTTAATGAAAAGAAAAGGAATAAGGGTGATTACCTCTCTTACAGAAATCAATGACAGGTAGATTTCTTATATATAGCAGAAATAAACTTTTTATTCTGTAAATCTCTAGAAGCTTAAATATCAATAATTGATGAGGAATATTTTAATTTTAGAAAATGTTTTTAAATTGATTTCAGTTTTCCCTTCCTAATTTTTTTCTTATTATTAGAACATTTACTTTAATGTAATCTTGTGCTAACAGACAAACTGTAACCAAAGATTTTCTTGGCATTTCTGCTATGGTATACATTATCCTTCATCTGTGATTTACCCCTTTGCTGTCTGGTTTCACATCACTTTCTTCCCTCATAAAGAGTTTAAGGGTCCTCGGATCACAAAGGTCTGACTTAGGGACAACTAATACTAGCCCTTTAATGTTAACGTAAATTTGAGGGCTTCAAACTGGTTCATTCTGGTTCAACCCCTTGCTGAGAATTTGCATTTCCACTCTAGGTATACTAAATTAGAATCTACATTTTAACAAGATTTTATGCTATAAGAATCACCAGGGGATCTTGTTAAACTGTAGATTCTGATTTAATATATCTGTGATAGGGAGCCCTGGTGACACACTGGTTAAAGTGCTCTGCTGCCAACCAAAAGGTCAGCATGAACCCACCAGCCACTCCACAGAAGAAAGATGTGGCAGTCTGCTTGTATAAAGATTTACACCCTTGAAAACCCTAAGGGGCAGTTCTACTCTGTCCTATAGGGTCCTTTTGAGTCACAATCAATTTACAGTTATAGGTTTTTGGGTTTTTTAAATATATCTAGATGGGGCAATCTACTTCCGTAGTGATACTGCCTCAGAAACCCAAGGAGGGGTCGCTATGAGTGGGGCCGACTCTATGGCAAATAACAACAACAACAGGGTAGAAATATGCAAATGATCAGCAGGAGACCAAACCAGAATAAACTAGTTCAAAACCTGGTAAATTTGCTTATACTTTGAAACAACCCCTACTGGAACCAACCCCTACTCACAACAAATTCTTCATCATAGTCACCTTCACTTACTGCACATGCAGCTTTTAAATCAGTGGAAAGGCTTTGTGCCTTTTCTTGCACTAAACCAAAAGCAAATCACACTCACTGCCATCGAGTCAATTCCAACTTACAGCGACCCCCAATGGATTTCCAAGGCAGTAAATCTTTATGGAAGCAGATTGTCTCATTTTTCTTCCATGAAGCACTGGTGGGTTCAAACCACCAACCTTTTGGTTAGCAGCCAAATGCCTTAACAACTACATCACCAGAGTCCCTTTTCTTGCCCTAAAGTAAGGCTAAATAAGAACCATGTACACCTATTCTGACTTATCTACAAATTTAACTTAAAAGACACACCTTAGGAACTGATCTCATTTGTAACCCAGGGAGTACTTGTATATAAATGTAGTATTTGAAACTATCTGCTTCCTTTCCAAGCAAGTCTTTAGTAAATACCCTAACCAAAAAAAAAGTGTATTTATTACTGGTATTAATTTTGAAAAAATACAAAATTAAAATGTTGCTTTATATTTAAAAAAATACTAAATTTGGCTTTGCTAATTTTCCTTAGCTAGAAATGAATTCACTACATACATCTGGGAATATCTCTTCTACATACTTTGCTAATTTGAGAATGCCCTTATTTCTTAGAATTTGCATTTTACTTTCTTTACTATTTTTTATTATTTTTATGTCAAATTACTAACCTGAACAGAACTTGTAAGACCTGTTACAGACTATGTATGGTTAATAATTTTAGAGACATGACCATATGTAGTTGGCCTAGTCAGATATATTAGAAAGTCTTTCCCAGGCATGTGACTTTCTTTTTGCCAAGAAAGTTGAAGCTCTGGTTTTATAAAAGGTCAATAAATGAAAAAGCAAAACTGAATGTCAGAGTAGCACTGAAGATTAGGTGTAGATGTTTGTTTGAAATGTTTATGTAGTGCCTAGGAATAGTCACTGTAGAAGAGTATAGTAAGAAAAACTATTTGGTTTGCTTTGATTTGGAATAGGAATGATTTATTTCCTGTTGACTTTTTAAAAGTTAAGTAACCCAAACATCCATCAACAGCAGAATGGATAAAAATGAATTGTCCATTTTTATTTAAATGAATATACATTTTCTATACACAGTGATAATGAGCATTTTTACACAACCTATATGATTCTCACATATTTATCGAAGGAAGCCGGACGCAAAAGAAATATACGTTGTATGGTTCCATTGATATAAAATTCAAAAAACAAAACTATAGGATTTGAGGTTGCATATGTAGGTGGTAAAACCATAAAGAAAACCAAGGAAGGAATTTCAGTAGTTGTTAGGATAGTGTTTACTTTTGTGTAGGGGTGAGAAGAGGTTTGTTTTTATAAAGGAGCATGAGGAGGATTTCTGGGTACTAGTTTTCTAAAGAAGCCCTTATGGCACAATAGTTAAGCACTTAGCTGCTAACCAAAAGTTGGTGGTTCAAACCCACCACCAACTCTACAAGAGAAAACATCTGGCAGTCTGTTCCTGTAAAGATTACAGCTGTGGAAACCCTATGGGACAGTTCTACTTTGTCACTATGAGTCAGAATGTTCTCAGTGGCCTACATTAGTTTTCTGTTTGTGGACCTAGAGTTTTCTGAATATTCACTTTGGAGTAACTCATTGAGCTATTGCTTATTTTTGTTTTGTGCACTTTTCTGCATGTCTGTTACATTTCACAATAGAATTTTTTAATGTAAACAATAAAAAAGCAGTAAATCGCTGCATGTTAGAACAATTCATGCCATGGGAGTTTAGAGGAAGAAGAGATGACCATAATTAGGAATAATCTGAGGAAGAATAGAAGGTAGTAAAACTTAAACTGGGCCTTTAAGGATGGGTAGGATTAACATAAATGGAGAGAAAGGAATACATTCTGGTTGAGGGAACCAGGATGAGCAAAGGTACAAAAAGGACAAAGAGGTGGCATCATCTAATTTCCTCTAACTTCACAAGAGGGAGACAGAATCACCATCAGCAGCCCAAGGTTTATTCTTATGAGGCACACATGCCACCACCCTCCAGCCTTTCTACCAACTCTGACACCAACCATCTCTCCCATGGAACTCACCACTTAACTGCTGGGTTTGGTAATTCTTTGCAGTGGCCGCACAGAACTCCCAGACAGTTCTCATGATTATGGGGTTTAGTAGGGAAGTAACAGGTTACAATTCGGATTCAGGAATGCTCTCAGGATATAATTCTTGGATCAGGACAGTGTCCTCTCTGCTATGCATTCGGGCACACCTCTTTGACCCTTGACTTCTTGGTCTAGCCTCTGCCTTACTTGGGCAAGTGTTACAAAGCTCTTTTGGCTCTGCCAATAGGTGCACCTGGGTGCACCCTACTCCACCAGCAAGACTTCAGCCCGAAGGCACTCAGCTTTCTTACTCTATGTCCCAGCAAGCCCGCCATTCTGTCTCGTGCCTCTTAGTTCTGCTGCCACCGTGTCTCTGTGGATTGTCTCTGCCAATCATCTCTGCCATCATTCTGCCAAGTAGGTCCAGCTCAGGGATCTCAGGTTCAGGGATGCACACCACTCCACCTCTGGCTTTTCTCTCTTGATGGCAGTGAGAGCCCCCCATCTGCCTCTAGGAGGGCTCATTTTAAGCCTAGCAGAATGACACAACTAGTCAATCCCAACATTAGGATTCCATGCACCTTATTTGCATGGTCCTACCCCCACAAGGGTATCATGTACTTTATTTATATTACTCACAAGCTGTCCAATTGCCTGGTAGGCCACAAGCATCTTACATTTGCATAGTTCCACTCAGTCAACTGCTGGTGTTGTTGTTATGTGCGGTCGAGTCGGACCCAACTCATAGTGACCCCTCCTTGGGTTTCCGAGGCAGTATCACTACAGAAGTAGATTGTCCCATCTTCCTTCCAAGGTTCAAACCCACCAGCCTCTGGTTAGCAGTCAAGTGCCTTAGCCACTATGCTACCAGAGCTCCCAGTCACCTGGTAGGAGTCTCAAAGACTGCTTTGGTTATCTAGTGACACTCTGACAGGAATATACTGCAAACGGGATGCTTGAAGAAACAGGAGTTTATTCTCTTACAGTTTGGGAGGCTAGAAGTCCAAGTTCCAGGTGCCAGGTTCTAGGGGTTGGATGAAAGCCCCTCAATCTTGGGCTTTAGCTCTGTCTCTTGCTCCCAGCCCACTGAAGCTAGAGATGTCTCTCCACTCAGGCAGCTGCTAGCTGCTGAAGCTGACAAACCTAAGGTCAACAAGTGAAAAGGCACAGTCCTGATATTACCAAACCACAATGCAGGCCATTAATTCAAGTCCACTGATAGTCCCAAGATCAGCAGAGCATGACAGACTGCTGAACAATGACTCGGCTACATGCAGGGTTCAAGTGTGCCATCAGCTGAAGACCTTTCCCAAAGGAAAGGAAATGGAGTTGATTGCCAGTCTCAGTCATAGGGAATAACTACGAGCAGTTGCCAAGCTACTCAAACAGGCCTATCCAAGTTGACAAACAACCTTAACTACCACAAAGACCATGGCTAGAAAAGTAATTCATTGCACCGCAAAAGTATAATGAACTTGATGAGTTTAGG